CTATACACACACACACACACACACACAGACACAGACACAGACACAGACACACACACACATACATACACATACACATACACATACACACATATATATATATATATATATATAGGCCTATATATATATTAAGCATATTATTCTAAAGTGTACTTCTTTACACAAGGGGGCTCTTTCACTAAAGGGGGTCATCCACTAAAAATACTACACCGGTTGATGAAAAGTCATTCCAAAATTTGGGTATACTGTACCTTTTGGTGTTACTATGTGCGCAAATGCGTAGCCTGGTTTAGCTCTAGTGAGCTATATTCCGATGGCTATGATCCATATTTATCTACTCGCTGTTTCTGAAAAAAATAAAATAAGGAGAGAACACCCATACTGTGAAAGAAAACACTCACATTCATAGCATTCATATAAAACTATGAATATTCTACTTAACAATAGGCCTACATTCTAGCATTATTTCAATACCATGTTAAATGTTAGGCCCATACCCATTATTCTTTCTGGGGAGTGAGTTAATGTATTAATTAATTTGTTCAATTTTAGTACAGTATTACTTATTTCGGCTGTACTATTTGTTTGTTTATTAGAAACTGCAGTTAAAATAATGTAGGCTAAGTGAGAAGTCAAAACGGTTTTACATTGTCAAATACAATGGTTAAAGAATGGATGTTATGCAAATGTTCATAAGGGATATTGGGAATAGCCATTTAATGTAATTTGGGCACTTTACTGAAAATGTCTGTTAAGAACATGGCAGATCTCTATGAATAATTCAGTCCAGTAGAATGACTAATAGATATGTAGTTTCCTGAGGGTGTAAAGTGGGGCCCTCTACTGGGACATTCAGCAGATCAGAAAGAAGCATACACTCATTCAAATCCCAGGACATTTTGGCTCACTGAAGACATTTGTACATGCAACATTAGTGTTTTAATCTGTAGGCTGTGGGTAGAATGGATTGATCCCTGATATAAAACTGAATAAGCATTTAGAGCAAATGCTGCATTTTGTCAAAACGTTGCCATTCTTTCAAAGCCGGTACTAAAAATACAGAAAATGATCACAAGGCTGTAACAAAGAAATAAAACCAAACTACAATTGCGACATCTAGTGACAGAGTGGTGGAACTGCTGGCTGAGATATTACAGCACAATGATATAATACAGATTGTAAATTTAATTTGTACAGAATTTTGACATGATCGATAAAACATGATTTAATTGAAGGCATATGAAATTACATTTACATCAAATGTTAAGAAATGTTCTGTCTATTTCAGTATACAGCAAACAACATGGACTTATAGAAGAATTTGGTTAAAATGTGAAAATTGTCCTGCAACTTGACTGTATTCAACATTAACTTTTTACAGTAAAAAGTATTATAAGTAGGCTTAAACAATGTAATAAGTAATCGGTTCAAAAGCGTGTATAAAATTACAACAGTGTGCAAGGCTTTTTTTTTCATTCTTAGCATTTATTGATCAACCCACAGACATACAAAATACATAGAATGCAGTACTCAAATAATGAGAGAAGGACATTTCCTTGATAAAAAGCATTGGTATGAAATAACATGGTCTTAATACAAATACAAAAACTGGGGCAATACAAACATTGCCGCAAAATCACAATCACAAATACCTTCATGTGAAAGGTTCACTTTTTTATGCAGAGTAAAATCAGCAGAATGGCTAACAACACAAAGCCTTCACCCAAACTAGAAAAGGCACAAATGATATTTACAGTGAGGTCAGGGTTAGGTTTCAAGTGGATTCGGTTTCAATAGAGGTTTCAGTAATATTACTGAATTAATATTTTTCATAACTCAAGGACAGGTAGGCAGCCTGATGTGTGAAAGTTTGGTGTCAAGTATCATGAACAGACTTTGCCAAATTCTACACTATACATAATTTAAGTAAGATTTGTCAGGGCAAACCAGCATTAAATTGTGCAATAATTTGGTTGCAGTGTATTTTATTTTGGCTTTGAGTCAGAAGTAAACCATATGCTTTTAATCATTTTAGCATGTTAAAACCACCAGCCATCCAGCATATTCTAGTGACTCAAAAGTATGAGGAAGGACTTTTGTACATTCAGCGTGCACTCTAACTAGCTAACACAACTCCTCAAGCATCATACGAGTTTCCATACATTTTTTACTAAACTCAAGGTCAAAGGAAATCTAAATGTATTAATCTCAGGCTGACTGGCAGTGAAAGCTGTATAATGGCTGTAAACTTCATAAACCCCCAAGCAAACACTTTGTCATAAAGCATAATACGCCAAACAAAGATACTTAAACAGATAAAAAATAGTCAACAATGGTAAAAACAGAACACTTAATACAACAGAATAACAAAAGTCTTAAATAATTTAGAAACATACATAAACTCATTCTACCACTGGGTTCAAAAATGTATCGATTTAGATATTATACTTAGACAAGATAGAGAGCAGAAGCAATTTCAAGTTCAAACTGAAACCGTATTCATTTTAGTCACAAACAGCCCTTACTATCATCTAAATTCTTAAGAGAGCAAAAACGTACCTGACAAGATTGTTGCAACACTAAAAGCGTAAACACGTTCACTTACTAAGGCAAGGTGTTTCAATAGCATACACATCTGTGACCCTGGATCACAAAACCAGTCTTAAGTCGCTGGGGTATATTTGTAGCAATAGCCAAAAATACATTGTATGGGTCAAAATTATTGATTTTTCTTTTATACCAAAAATCATTAAGATATTAAGTAAAGATCATGTTCCATACATATATTTTGTAATAAATATATAAAAACTAAATTTTTTATTAGTAATATGCATTGCTAAGCACTTCATTTGGACAACTTTAAAGGCGATTTTCTCAATATTTTGATTTTTTTTGCACCCTCAAATTCCAGATTTTTAAATAGTCGTGTCTCGGCCAAATATTGTCCTATCCTAACAAACCATACATCAATGGAAAGCTTATCTATTCGACTTTCAGATGATGTATAAATCTCAATTTCGAAAAATTGACCCTTATGACTAGTTTTGTGGTCCAGGGTCACATTTCAGCTGAAATTCACTCATCATCAAATATAACATCTTTATCAAAAAGAGATGCTTGCGAAATGTTCAATCTTAGCACAGCAAACATAAATATCAACACTATAATGAATTTGTAGCTTGTGTACACAGAGATTACAACTACTGACCAAACACTTTCTATATTCACAATACATTAAATACTATTTTTTAAGATGTACAACAATACATACACGTTTTGTTCAAATATTCTGTTACAACTGGTAACTATTAAGAGTTTTATATGATTGTAAAGGCCATACAAATTTAAATACGTGTTTAATAGACTTCAGTTTAGTAGTCTGAGAGGTAAAAACTGCAGCCTTGTTGTTTCTGCGTCAAACTTGACTTAACAATCTGTAGCTGTAACAACCAACGTGCCCCTGATCACCTATTAGCCCTGATTAAAAATACTATCTACAATGTTCAAGTTTATTTTCAATGTTAAACAGTTATTAAAATATGTATGGCCTAAGGGAGTGCACCAAAAATGGAATGCTTAAGAAATTGTGATGGTACCAACCAGTGAGATGGCAACCCTGAGAGCAAATGCTTTGGCTGATCAGTCCAATAAACAGATGGCTAATTTACAAACCTTGACCAGTGGTAAACACTGAAGCTAAGATGGTAAGTGTGCTAATTGTGTATTATAGTTCTTACAAAAGTGAAAATTCTGCCATCATTTACACCCTCATGTTGCTCCAAACTTTGGAACCTTGGAATTGCGATACAAAAGTGGCAATTGTACGTTTATATCTCACAATTCTGAGTTTTTTTTTCTTCTTCTTATAATTACAAGAGAAAAAGTCCAAATTGTGAGACAAAAAGTTGCAATTACCTTTTTTATCCTGTAGCGGAAAAAAGCCTGCATAAAAAAGGAGCAGCCTAAACATTTAATTTAAAGAAGAAGAAAAACAAAATGCAGGTATGGAACAAAACATGGCTGAGTAAATGATGACAGTTTTCAGTTTTGGGTGAATTGTTTCTTTAATGACTCTCAAACTAATTTGAGGTGAATCTGACTAAAGTCAGTACATCAATATTCTCTCAAAATGTAGTTTTTACTCCTGTTTGTGAAACCTTTAAATGATTAAGGCAAATAGCTGACAACTTTCAGTGTATATGTTGTTATACCCTATTAAGCGCTCATATAAAATGATCCATAATACAACATCTACAGCAGCTGTAAGTTGAAATTAATAAATAACATCTAAGATAAAACACTTTTTTGTTTTCAGATTTTCACTGAAATGGAACGCAGTAAAATGGGCAAAAGCCTTTAAATTGGCCCCATGCAAGTCTCAATATACTGTTAAAACTGTAAAAAGTGAGCTATTTCTCTATGACCTAACCCTCAAAAGTATTTTTTGTTGGTGTAAGCCTATAATGTAGTCAAGTTGAGACAGTCATTTAATATTATTATTAAACAATATTTTGACTTGATTAATACCAATTAATAGACGTTACCATGAAGCACATTTTAAAATGACCAGAAAAGAAGAAAAAAAAAAAAAAAACAGTGCACAATCATAATATAAGAATCTAAACTTTTCCATTAAACCATGAAATCAGATGACCTGTCCAGGTAAATCTTTTCCTGGACGTTGTCATCAAGCACTTGTGGCATTTTCCAAAGACATTACACACCCAAAAATGCAACAGACTAGCACTAGACTAGAAGCATGGAGAATTGATACTGTGTACTGTACAGTAATATGAAATGAACTCATATTTCTCACATAAATAAGAATATCTCCACACTGGCAGTGGCAGAATTAGTAAAATAATCCCAAGTCGATTTAAAAACACTACAGAAATACCTTTAAACTGTAGTCAAGTAATTACAAACCAGGGGTGCGTTTCCCAAAAGCAGCTATGGTCACAAGTTCCATCGTTACCGATAGAGTTCAATGGAACTTCCAACCATAGTTAGCTAGTGATGCTTTTGGGAAACATACCTCAGGTTAAGTGTTTTTACAAATATCTGGCAGTGCTTTTAACTTTGCTCTGTACCTTTTAAAAAAATTGTAAACCTTCATGTAATACGTCCATAGTTTTTCTAGGAACGTTCTTGTTCTGGATCCTTTATCAGTCTCAGGATTGCACACGGCCTCAGGTCCAAAATGACCCCTGCTGCTTGTAGTCTCACAAAGGCTAGATGTAATTTCTGTTGTATGTGCTAGTTAAAGACCTATTAATAAGTGACAAGAATTACATCAGTCAAACCATTCGCTAGCAAAAACACAACAGAAAAATAAAACAATTCTGTTTATGCTTTTAGTAGAACTTTAGCACTTCAGTGGCAAATATATATTCAAATGATTTTGTGGTTAGGTGTATGCATATGTGTGTCACCGGGCCGTACTGGTTGGTTGATTGACAGGTGTGTACAGGTACTTCCAGATGGCATAGTAATGGATGCCTGATCCCATTGCAACAAAGAGGTGCCATATAGCGTGAGCAAAGGGCACTATTCCATCACTTTTAAAGAACACCATGCCCAACACATAACACCCACCACCAACCAACAGCTCACACAGACCTGACCTGTCTGCCTATAAAGAAAACAGACAGACATTGAATTCATTTCTAATTAGTCTGTCGTGACATTTTCAATTCATAGGCGTTCATTTTCTTACCATAGAGAGGATAACGAGAGCGGGGAAAACACCCATTGCTATGTAACAGATCAGCTCTACAACTTTAAACCTGTAACACAAAGGATGCAAGAAACATGTTCACCTGTAGCGCAGAAAAGTACAGTTTTGTTTCAAAACCTGTTTCAAATAATATGTATTTAAACTGATATGTTTTAGATTTTTTTTCTCTAGATTTTTCAAATGATATGTATCATGTTTAAAGGGATAGTTCACCCAAAACTGAAAATTTGAAGATTTACTTCCCCTCGGACCATGATGTAGATGAGTTTGTTCCTTCATCAGAACATATTTGGAGAAATTTAGCATTATCACACATTATAGAATTATGGACTCATATTAGGGCAGAAGTGATGGTTTAAAGTTAAAAAGCTTAGCAGCCTTTCACTTCATTTGACAGACTAGAGTTGTGTTGTGGATTATTGTGAGATTTGTATCAGCTGTTTGGACTCTCATTCTGACGGCACCCATTCACTGCAGTGGTTCCATTGGTGAGCAAGTCATGTAATTCAATTCCTTCAAACCTGTTCCGATGAAGAAACAAACTCATTTACATCTTGGATAGATTGAGTTTGAGTACATTTTCAGCAAATTAACTAATCCTTTAATGCACCTATCAAAATAATAATAATAATAAAAAAAGCAGTCAAATGTAAAATAACAAAAAAAAAAGTATTTTATTTAACTTACGATCTGCAAAGGAGTGGGAAAAAAATGGAAATCAGGTTTAGGCATAAAATAATGTCTTCACAATCAATCATACATGTGAAAATCGTCTGAGAACTGAACAAATAGGTGTAACCTGGTTCAGAGGAAGATAGGAATTATGTCTTTGTGGCAATTTTTCTGCTTACAAGAATTATTCACCTTACAAATGGTAGTAAAATGCAAAAATAAAAAATATATATATATATAATAAAATGCACATCATATTCTGTGAAAAACTGTGATGTGTCGGAGCAAAACCGGCACAACTTTTGGTATCAGCACCTCAAAATTAGTAAGAAACAAGTATTTGATTTCATTCAGCAAATATGATGCAGGGTGATGTAATCAAAACATTTGAAAAATCAGTTATTTCTTACAAAAATCTAATTTTGTAAATCTAAAATTGGCACTGAAATGTCATTGAAAATGGTCAATATGTGACCGAAAAGTTTGCCTTGTTTCTTTCTATTTGACCTTTTGGAAATCTAACATTTAGAAATGAACACTCTTAATCATTTGTCAAACACAAGCTCACCTTTCATGGAAGAAGAACACATAGGCAGTTCCTCCAGAGGCCATCACCCAGACAACCCAACGCATGTGGGCAGCCCATGGTCCAAGATCCCGCAGTGTCAGCCTGCCATAAATCCATTAGATCCTTAATTAATCGTAATTTCAACATCAAACTATCTGTGAAAGTCTCACAGTTTGATTCAGGGTACTGTCAATTTGGATAAAGAAGTCTTCCAAATAAATACATGTAAAAGTATAATTGAAATTTATAACTCAAAGCTATGCAACTGGGTAACAAGTAGAACAAGTTAAAACAACTAAAACCCAATTTCTGTGAAAATTTAAATACAGTCAATTCAACTGAATAACAAAATGTACTAAATTTAGGCACCAAATCATTTTTTACATAATTATTGGTGCTCCAATGAGGAATTTTTTTTTATAGTAACAGAATCTTTGTCACCATCAGAAGCCTATTTCTGCTAAAAAAAAATAAAAAAACTCCCCATTCACACATCTTAGTGGAAACAAACTGAAAAATATTGGCACATGAACTCTTGGTCTTTACACTATTATACATCTCCCCACCCGAAACTCTGTGTCAATTTATGACAGCCCAACACAAATTACACGAGCTCACCACGGTGTGTAGGACGCTGCAATAAAGAAATAGATCACCATCCTGTCGCACATGTGGAAACAGTGCTCAACTGATCTAAAAAGTAAAGCAGCACTTATTAGATTTCACTTCTCAAGTACATATGTAATTAATAACGGGTAAAAGGTTGGATTATCAGTTAGGCCTGAAAGATGATATGAACATAAGTACACACAAATGCTTCCAGCTACACAAGCTCAAATTCATGACACGAAACAAAACACACTTGCAGCTCACTAGAAAGACATTCATGTTCAAGTGTCTGGATTCACATTACACAGACTGAAATGGACTAATCAAAAAGCTGATTTGGCTCATATGAAAGCCTTACCGGAGATGAGACTTTTTCCAGGAGACAGTATGGAAAACTGTGGATATGATGAAAAGGCTTGATAGTCCCGCTCCATACAGCCATGCTGAAATCTCCTCCCAGTGGTCATCAGATAAGAGGTACAACAAGATCCCACCCACAATGCTGGGAAAGATCCAGAGCTGAGAATAAAATACAGTCACAGATAATTTAAATACAACATGTTCATCAATGACATTAACTGCAGAGTGCAGACTATAGGAAATAATTTCAAAACAAAGGTAGGGCATTTATATATATATATATATATATACATACATACCTACAGTATATACATACATACATACTTATGATTAAAGGAATAGTTCACCCAAAATGAAAATTTGCTGAAAAATGTTTCTTCAGATTTTTAGAAATTTAGCATAAAATCACTTGCTCACCAATGGATCCTCTGCTGTGAATGGGAGCCATCAGAATAAGAGTCCAAACAGCTGATAAAAACATCACAATAATCCACATGACTCCAGTTAATAATGGCTTTTGAAGTGAAAAGCTGTGTGTTTGTAATAAACAAATCCATCTTTAAGACATTTAAACTTTAACCATCGCTTTTGACCAAAATACCAGTCTATAATCACATTTCCTTCAGTGAGTTCTTCCCTGTTCTCTCACATCAAAATTCACCGACATATTTGTTCAGAACTGTTTTGGACTGTTTTTTGCTTGTAAACAGTGCTTGATCTGAGCATATTTCTTGAATGATTCAGACGAGACGACTTTTTAGCCAGAAGGTTCAACAGGGCTCAACGCTAAGGATTTTTTCTACTGGACCGGTCGGGCCAGTGGTTCAAATTATTACTTGCCCTGCCGCAAAAAAATAAAATGGTTGCCTTTATCATTGTTTTTGATCTATGTTATCTTTTATTCTAATAAATAAGCTTATATGACACCAATATTTTAGATACCAATGAAATTTTACAATTCTTGATTTCAATTTCGATACAACAGCAAAAACTGCCTGACAAGTATCAAGTTCAATCATTATTAAAGATAAGTGAACAGTAAGTAAATAAGAACAAATGAACAAATTACAAGCAATAGCACAACTAAATATATAGAACAAAGATACAAATGAAATTATGCTTTAGGTTTTTTATGTTTGTAGGTGTTCAGGTACAGAAATCGAATAATCACATCTAAAATAACATTGCATATTCTTCACTGTGTTGCACCTTGATTTTCATAGCCATTTGAAATTAGTGGTAACCATCATCATGAATCGATCCAAAAAAAAAAAAAAAGATTATACAAACTTGTAGCATGTGCAATGTTTGATTTAAATTAGACTGTATAATTTCAAAATTTTAAGCAAAAAACAGAATGGCCTGACTTTAGCTTTGTGAAATTATGCTACATAAAACATCTGCAGGAGACAGAAACAGCAGAAGCTCTGAATGAGACGCAGATTCACTCTCTGCCACCAGGTGGCACTTATGGAACACCAGCGCTTACTTGGTTACCGCTGTACATACACAAAGCAGCAATATGCATATTAGCACTACTTTAAATGCATTATACCTAGCCAAGATGAAAAGAAAATGCCATGTAAACTTTTCTGAAGTCAGTTCCCCTCAGAAACACATCCATATAAAATTCAATATTTAGGATTTTCTTCCTATCTTTCGCGCATCGTGAACTGCTATGCCTGCAACAGTATTTTCTCCTCTTTGCGTCCGTCTTCAGCGTCTCTGACCTCTGTTAACGGCCGTTGAAAGACGAAATTTATTATAATATTAAAGTAATATTTCCACACAAATGACATTTTGAAAAAAATATTGCGATGCAGTCTGTGTGCAAGCACGGAACATTCTCATTCTCTCTCAGACTCTCATTCTGACGGCACCCATTCACTGCAGAGGATCAATTGGTGAGCAAGTGATGTAATGCTACATTTCTCCAAATCTATTCTGATGAAGAAACAACTCATCTACATCTTGAATGGCCTGAGGGTGAGTAAATTTTTTCATTTTTGGGTGCACTATTCCTTTAAGACTGTAAACACAACTCACCGCATGTGTGGCACAGTTAGCAGCATGCTCATATTCTGTTGGCTGATATCTCTTATTAGATGGTGCACGACTGTTCATAAATCTAAAAAAAAATAATAATAATAATAATAAATAAAGTGTTAGAAAATAAGGGATGAAGTGAAGCTAAGCAATGCATAACTTAGTATTACCTACCTAAAGCATACTTAAAAGTACATAGTGTTGCTCCTGAAATTTGTTTGAATGTTGTTTAACAAAGTCAGTTCTTTTAAACTGGTCACTTCTATAAAAATAAAAAAAATAAAAATGAATAAACAATTCTGTAACTCAACATATAGGCCTTTAAGGTTACTCATGTCACCACACATTTCACTTACTCTGACATGATATACAGATGCAACTGATGCATGAAAATGAAAATCTGCTTTTTCCAATAAAATTATATAAAAATTTGATTTGAAAAGATATGATTTTGTGTTTTTTTATTTATTAAATACATGCATTATTGCATTGTTATTATATGTATTGGGGGCGTGTTCGAACGAGCCGTTTTAGGTAGGTGTGGCTAACTCTTAACTTTTATAAAGAATATCTCTTTGGATTTGAGACTTTAGTCTTTGCAACTTTACAGATCTTCTTTATGCACCAAGAGCTTGTAACACTCTAAAGAGAAAGGAAAAAATGAAATCGCATCATATGACCCCTTTAATTGATAATGAGTTAGTCATCACGTAGGTCAAATGATCATGTGACTGATAATAACTTTTGCAGTTGGCAGGCAGTGGCTGGTAACCATGGAGAACCACAGCAGAAGAGTCTTTCATCCTTACACACCAGAGCCGTTGAGAGAGTGCTGATGTCACGGTTGTCAAGGAAACATGAGACTGGTACGGAAAAGGAATGAGGCTGCGTGTGGTTTCCTTTTTTCTTCCTCCCTTGTACCACAAAAAGTGACACTTTGAATTTAAAACCATAGTTTCATAGTCATCTTTCTGCCAAGAAACTCCAGAAGAATAAACAATGTTCTTAGAAATGTGATGTAGAGATGGACATTATGTGCCAATTCAGTAATGTAGTACAAATAACTGCACTTTAACTAGGACGAATAGGCCTATTACATAATGTTTCTAAATGTCAGTCACACATGTTCATGTTTAGAGGGGTTGAAAAGGAGATTTATGGAGAAGCTATTTGCAAGAACAATAAAAAGGATAACAGCAGTTGTGTGACCACACAGCAACATTGCAATGTTTAACAGTAGGCTATAGACTGAAATCTGCAATTAGGTCAAACAAAATTGATCTGACTTGCATGGATGTGATTCTTAATGACCACATCTAGTTCAACACATATAACCCATATCTGTCCTAATTTCTATTGTTAATAACCCAGAGAACATTGCCTAAATTTGTTCTTGTATTCATTATGGTCACTGACTCAGCATTCACTAAAATATTCAAAAGAAAACAATCCCGTTAATAATCTTTTAGTGATGTTGGCCTAATATTTTGTTTTAAACACTGATGTAACTAAAATATTTGTTAGACCTATATATATATATACAGAGGCCGCCGTCGCGGCGACATCTTCCCTATTAGCAAACGATCCCTGAGCGACATCGTGCCGATGGAATTTTGTACGTCGGGTCGACATCGGCCCAACGTATGTGTGCTGTCTGGGTATATATCGTTTTTTTTTTTAATTCCTTCTAGTAGCCTACCTGCCTAGACAGACACATTTCAATTCATTGTCCGTATTAATTGAATTAATGTTTTTTTTTTTTATTAAAGTCATGAATCCATAAACATTGAGCCTAAACGATCTCAGTCACGAGTCAGTCCAACATCACTCAAAATGTCTCTTCCTATTAGCACTTGCTATCAGCACATCCTCACGAAGCCAAGCCAGGGATAATGAACCAAACTGATCCAGATGTTAACTGCTCGTACACGTTACTAAATCCATGAGTTTGATCTCATATGCGTCCGGTGAACGTTTACGGTAGAATTTCAAGTCACAGCTGTTCGCTAAGCATCAAAACACCGTATTTTCTACCACTCCCTCAAACGTCAATCAGCACGCAAACCTCTTCAGGGACCATCGCGGATTTTTGTGTGTGTGAATGATCAACACTCATTTATAGGAAATTACCATCATATAACAGCATTCCGTGACTTTCAAGAACCGACACGTATTAAGCTTAGCGATAAAGATTTTTTTTTTCTGTGCATGAAACGATAGCTTTTCTGTGGCGCGTGGGTGTCGCATCACAAAAGACAGCTCTAGAAAAAAAAAAAACCGACACCTCTGACAATAAGCTTACTCGCTACGTACAGAACTATAGCTAACTGAATATATTTACACATCACCGACGGCGGCACGTTTACTCACCTTACAAGTTTCATTTAAACGCGTAAATCCAACAGTTGCGCGAGTCTAGATGAAAACGTCTTACATTTGATTCAGAGCTTATACGAGGAGCTCGTCTTTCAGAGACACGCTAATCTATGAAAACCCGCTCTGAAATATCATTCGGGTGATGAACTACACAACGAAGCGAGCATGAGCAATAATCCGGAAGTAGCATAACGGTCTCCGCAATCCGGTTTTCCTGCAGTCACAAACGAGTGGATCATCCGTGTAGACAGGTGGGTTTATACAATGTATCGTCTATTAGCTCAGCGGCCCACTCAATACTGGACGTATGCCATATGTATAGCATTTGCTAGCAAACTAAGGTTTTAAGTGATTCATAATGGCATAGAAAACATTTATCGATATGTGCATATCAAGTCAATTGATCAATTGAAGTTAAACCACCACAATTACACTGATTAATGAAGTGTAGCACCACTCCAGTATGTCAAACAATAGTGACCTGATAGCTATACACGTCACAAGTTGGTTTATTCACACTTTTATTGAAAAAGACATCCATCCAAACATCTAAATAAAAATTTCATTCAAAACTCTAACACCAAAGTTTCAAAGCTACATCTGCACATTAACATCCATGCAGAAACCAGCGATCATATTCCAAAATGTATACCACCAAAAGGACTTGGTCTTCTTACATCTGCAAATAAAGACCAAGATGTAAAAGGTGCACCATATAAATGCATACATTGGATTGGCTGTGCAGTCTTAACCAGTTACGAGATGCACTTTAGTATGGCATTCAGCACAGCTCAGGGAGAGAGTTTACAATCAGGCCCATTAACCATGGATCAGCTTAGCAAACAGTTTCTCATCACTGCAGTGCACACCTGTTCTACTATAAATGTAATTCAATACTACAACCTTCCTCTAAGAAGGAGTCACTGTTAGTCTTTCATACATATGGGATTATCGGATTGAAAGGAGTCATAAAATTTGAAATGGAGAAGAAAATGAAGAGTTTCACCTCTTAGAGGAGGCCACCACATTTTTGCAGTTGGGAACTTCATTCTTACCATCTGTGAAATCTGATAGAAACAAGCAACATTAGTAACAAGTTTCATACATTAAATGCCACAAGTCAGTTCCCACACTTTGACTAACTTAATTCACATTTCTGTTGTAGCCATGTGCTCATCTAATTAGACTTTATACTGAAGGGGGGCTTACTCACATTTGTACATCAGATGGTAATATTCAAAGTATAGAAGCATTAGTATATTTTTAAATACACTAAGACATTAACAATGGGTCAGGATGCAACTAGGCACTGAACAGACTAAACTAAATTTCCAAGAGCCTCCTAGGCCTAGAAAAAAAAAAAAAAAGGAAACTTTTCATAAGTGTGGAGAACCCTAAATTCACAAAACCCGCATGTATTAAGCAAAAGAGCCTCAGACTAGATTTTATAATCAGCTGCTGAAACACAGCGTTCATACGAGGTGTCAGAAAAGTATTAGAAGTCATCAGCGGCTCAATATTACGTTCAAAAACGCATTACATAAGCAACTTACAATAAGACCAAGCGGAGTGTGTGGTCCAGGCTCAATTCACTTACCGCCAACTTAACTCTTCATCGCGTTTACTGCAATTTATATTTGATGCATCAAATGCAGACGTTCAACACGTAGACTACAAACAAACGCCTATGGCGCAAATCATCCGAAGCCACGTGCTTCAGCACTCCCATCATAATGAGGTAGACTGGAGTCTCCACAAACAAAACAAAGACAAGTTCATATGCGGTTCACGTGTAAACCCAACTCAAAGCCCTCCAACGAAAATCTGACAGGAGATTTAGGAGTTTAATGTAATCACGCGCAATAAAGACTTAAATCATCACAGTGCTCATCTAAAATCATATTAATCATTGTATTCTCAAGCGATTGTTGAGGTTCTAATGAACTACACCGAAAAAAAAGATCACTTACACGCCCGCAATCACTAAGCGACTTTCTGAAGAGGACATGTTGCAACGCAATACTACCGCAACGCAATACTACCGCAACACAAAAGTTCGCTGAACAAAGAGAGAGAACTAGCGTTGTAGCACGGTTTTTATAAGAGTTCTTCTTTGCGACATCCACCAGCGTATCAACGATGTGTTCAAAGCTCATGCATGCCCTCTGCTGTTTGGCTTGAGTCTTTGCATAAAATTGAAGTACAGAATACAGAAATTGAGCCCCAAATAACAAGTACCCAAGAAGGTTACTATAATTACTACAAGTAAATTTTTTAATTAAGATTTTATTCATATTCAGACACAGTTTCTATGTCAGGAATATCTCCATGCAGATGGGGTGAATTCGGAATAGCATGCTAGCACCTTCGCTTGCCATTTGTTTTATATCAGTGGTCTCCAAACTCGGTCCTGGAGGGCCGTGTCCTGCAGAATTTAGCTCTAACCCTAATTAAACACACCTGGACCAGCCAATTAAGGTCTTACAAGGCATACTAGAAACTTCCAGGCAGGTGTGTTGAGGCAAGTTGAAGCTAAACTCTGCAGGACCGAGTTTGGAGGCCCTTGTTTTATATCTTTATATGGCTTTTTATTCTATAACCTTTTCTATTACAATAGTATTACTGTTAGGAGTGTATTCAGCCTTTTTCTTGGAAATCAGTTTTATTTACCAGATGCTTTTGTAATGTCAAGCGACATGCTGGAACAGCTGGAGCAAATTTGATGCCTCACAAAACAGTCAATCATACAAAAGAATAGATTCAGATAGATGCTCATCAGTCCACGCAATACTGCATGGATCACTCTGCTTGTTCAGACAGAAATGCTGACAGAATGAGGATTCATAAGATTATATTCATAATAATAAAATAATGTATTTCCTTGCAGCGAGAGCAGTATAACGCGTTATACTCGCAGCTCAACAGCGGCTGCCTGGATTGAGCGGCCAGCGATGCATCAGTAAGCAACCAGTCAGTATCACGGTCATTTGACTGCTTTAATTACGATAAAATGATTTAAAACACAAATAATGTAAAAGAACATAATCATATCAACAGATATGTAATTACAAATGAATGTAATTCGCCAGAGCTAGAGAGGGAGGAACACAAAATCTGCCAAAAATCAATGGTTGCTGACACTTGCCAAGGTGGACTGGCAGCCACCAGCAGGTCACGTGACCTGCCAGAATCAGACTGCTAGCTGCCACCAGCCACTGCCATCCAGCTGAAGACTGAACCCCCACTATGTTGGGTTTGTTACTCCAAAAAATGTAATGTATTACTTATTACAAAAGTAATATTATTATATAACTTTTTAATATAACCCCCTGCCAACAGCATTTGTTTGCTACTCATTAAATTACTGATAATATATACAATGATAGCCTACCATAATTGGTTTGGAGCTTGAACGTTGCAAACGCTTCGCCGAATTGCATGTCGTCTGAATGCTCATCCAATAGGATCAAATTCATGAAGGCTCTATCTGATGTGCCAACGTTGAACTTGAATATTGCATGCTCTAAGGCTTCCATGAACATATCTTTCTGCTTCATTAGGCGTGCAATCCAAAGTATTCCTTACATGATTTGACATTCTGGTGTATGTCAATGGCTGAACATGAAGACGTTGTCTGTGTTTATAAAGTGTACATCGGCTAATGCCCAAGCAGTTTGCAGTTCGCTGCCAGTTCATACCTAAAGCAAGGCAGTATGAGATCTGCTAATGAGAGATGGCAAACCGAGGCCTTTACTGGCAAGTGGGTCAGAGTTGTTGGAGTAACTCTCTTCAGCTGGTCTTTGCATGGAACCATATCTCTGCTCCAGTGAAGACAAGCATCTGTGCAAGGACTCTAGTTCCCGTAAACAGGAATTGTCCTTATCCTACAGCTTGCAACAATGAATGGATGGTTCTTGTGTGGTCCTCAGGTTCTCTGAGCAGGCTTTCCAGATTCAATGCCATCAACAGCTCTTTGAATGTCCTCTAAACACTGCAGTGTACTTTTAAAAAAGCTGTAATATCATCCTCATTGCTCCTTGTGAAGGAAAAAAGCAAAAACTTACAGAACCAAAAATAGTCTCCGTGCACGGGACATTTTGAAATATAGAAATCTTAAAGACAGTTTTGTGATTTTCCTTTTTCAATTTCCAGATGCTCAAAAGCATTTAGTTAGAGACCAACATTCCTGACCAGTGAAATGTTAAGAACCGGCTGTGGGTTTGTGCTTAAATGAGTCAGAGGCTTTTTTTTCAGTTATGCGTATGAATGTATTTCACTAAGGTTGATATTTTCGTTTCACTTGTGTTTTTAAGAGGTATTTCAGTTATGCATATGAATGAATTTCACTAAGGTTGATCAATGTTTTCACTACAGTATGTAAGAGGTTTTTCAGTAATGCATATGAATTTCACTAAGGTTGATCAATGTGTTTCGTTTCACGAGTGTTTGTAAGAGATTTTTCAGTTATGCATATGAATGAATTTCATTTACGTTGATCAAGGTGTTAATTTCACTAGTGTTTGTAAGAGGCTTTTAAATAATTATGGCCTATACGGCCCCTCATATCATATTACAGGTATTTATTAATACTCCAATATGTAGTTTCATCATGGCAATATTTCCATGCCCATCATGTCTCTGTATGATGCCAAGGGGTACCCTGCCGAAAATTATTTAAAAAAAAAATTAAAACCATTACAAATGGCTACCTGTGTTTTAGGACATATTCCATTAGGATTTTGTAGTTTTAACAAGCCACCAATAAAAGGCCACAAATTACCAGTGGAGACCCACAGGGTAAATTAAATGGACCCACAGTTTCCATTAAAACCAACACAAATTCCCATTATAGCCTGTAAAACCATTACAAATTCTGTGATGGTTTCGATTTATTTGTTTATTTATTTAACGCAGGGCACTACCTGATAAAAAGTGACGCCGAGGGATCCTAACCAAGTGTCAATATGTGATGAGTTGGGAGTGAGAACTTGCGTTACTTATTTGAAAAAGTAACTCAGATATTCTCTTGTAAATTAAAAAGTAATTTTTAATTTACAAGAGTAACTAGTAACGCTAATTTACTAGTTACTTGAAAAAAGTAATCTGATTACGTAACTCGCGTTACTTGTAATGCGTTACCCCCAACACTGGTAATTGGTCTGTGATGGTTGTGACTCAGGGTGACAAGAATGTGTTGAAACATGCCTTGCTGTAGCTAATAAAATAAATATTAAGCAGCACAACTGTTTCTTACATTGATAATAAATTAGCATATTAGAATGATTTCTGAAGGATCATGTGACACTGAAGACAAGAATCTGAAGGATGACATTAGATGTTTGACAAGAATCCTTTCCATAGTTTTACATACCACAGAAGTTAAAGCTATAGGGCGAAAATCATTCACAGTATCTGGAGGCCCCTTTGGTACTGGGATTATCACACTTTTTTTACATAAGGAAGGTACAGTTCCATTTGCAACAAAGCCTGGAATAGCCTTGTCAATACACATTTCAACTGGTGACAACAACACTTTACCACTAATACCATCAGGCCCCCCAGCTTCACCAGGTTTTATCTTAGAAATGGAAGCGACCACATCCAACTCCGTCAAATTAATAGGGGAGCAATATTCAAGTTATATTAAAATTTAAAAGGCATAATTTCAGTTAGGGGGAAAAAAAGCTTTTTTAGAAACAAAACAGCATCATGTATTAATGTATAGTTTAATACAAAGGACCGAAAACCACAAAGAGTAGCCTACTTTCTTCATTTAAAAACATGAGATACAGTGGGATGGGGAAAAAAACGCCATAAAGTTTCGAGACATGTTTTTTAAAAAGTTGAACTTACGTTAATTTTGAACCGCTTTTTAAACATGCGGCGCTCTAGTGTGAGACGAGAGTGCAACGGTGATATATGTCCCTCTAGAAAATGAGATAAATATGCGTTCTGTGTTAACACTTTACCACTAATACCATCAGGCCCCCCAGCTTTACCAGGTTTTATCTTAGAAATGGAAGCGACCACATCCAACTCCGTCAAATTAATAGGGGAGCAATATTCAAGTTATATTAAAATTTAAAAGGCATAATTTCAGTTAGGGGGAAAAAAAGCTTTTGGCTTCTCTCCTGAGGTCACAAGAGGGCGCATCGAGCAAAATATTACTAATGCACTTTCTTCAAAGCCTATCTTTGAAAAAAAAGTGTATAATGTTTAAATTAATGTTTATAAACCATATATAATTAAGTTGCTTAAACAATTAGAAACAAAACAGCATCATGTATGTATGTATAGTTTAATACAAAGGACCGAAAACCACAAAGATTAAAAGTTGAACTTACGTTAATTTTGAACCGCTTTTTAAACATGCGGCGCTCTAGTGTGAGACGAGAGTGCAACGGTGATATATGTCCCTCTAGAAAATGAGATAAATATGCGTTCTGTGTGAACGGCTTGGTTTCGGTTTTGACATAAACAACATTCTCCGCAATTATGTTGTAGTTAATAGTTACTAGTTAATAGTGAGAATTGGACTTTAAAATAAAGTGTGACTGAAACGGCATACTGTATGTTTCTATTAAAATATCTCGATATGATTTTTAGCATCATATTTTATAAAATCAAATTTCAGTCACCAAAAACCCTGTAAAGAACCTTATATTATTTGCTATATATAACATTATATTTAAAGGGGAAATAATTATCTTTAAAAAAGCATCATATGACCCCTTTAATGAATAATCCAGCAAACCTCCTCACCCAAAAAAGCAAACAATGTGTTTGAGTTCTGTGGACAACCCACCAAAGAGCAACTAACACCCCAAAAAGGCAGAACAGGCCTCTGGTTACCATGACAAGCAATGACAAATCATCAGATAACACTGGTTTTATGGACTACGTGCACAACTACTTCTGCGTTCTACTCAGTACTGCTCGGGCTCGGGACTCTGGAGTTTCCGTTCAGCGTTTAGCACACCTACAGGTCATCCAGACCGTTTCTTATAAGAAAGCAGATTATACTGCGATATAGGGGTGGATTTAATTATTTATTTTAACAATTAGTCATATTCTCTATAACACGAATTATCTCCAACCTGCTGAAATTTTCCTATGAATATATTTCTCTTCCAAATATACATTCTGAATAATAAATATAGGCCTATTTCCCCACTAACCTGCTGAGGTCCAGTGCTTGTTTTCATATTTTTTATCTCTTACTGATCATATTTTATAACTGTTGAATTTACAGTTTTAAATGAATTTGACAGATAAACACCCTTACGAAAAATAACCATGGTTTTACTATAGTAAAAGTGTAGTAACCATATTACTGTGTGGTATAATATTGCCATATTACATAGTGTATAATGGTATACCAAATTTAAACAACATGGTTAAACTATAGTGTAGCAAAACCCGGGTTTATTTGTGGTTTATTATGGTTTAACAACAACTGCAATTTTTTGGTTTTATCTGTAGTATAACCATGGCTAATTTTCGTAGGAGCATTATTGTTTATGTTCGTTGGTTGGATTTACAAATCCTTGGGAAATTTTGGGATAACGTAAGTGTACAACTGCATGAAATATATAACACTGTACAAGTGGTTATTAGATTTTAGATTATTAGATTTGATTTTATTACAGAAATCTTACATACTGTGCCTTTAATTGAGCATTATAATACATTGCATAATTAAAGCTACACAGCATACCGATACATATTTAAACATACATATGTTTATAACACGTCTTACAGTAATATTGGTGTTAAGGTTATAATCAATATACATTCATATGTAACAGTTTAATCATAATAGGCTAATTGTGCCAATAAATTGTTCCAATAATTCTGTAGCACATACATGAATATCACTTAGCATACATTCATGTTATGATTACCATTTATAATTCAGATTATAGGATATATGCATTAATACATGCATGCAAAAAAAAATCTGAAAGCACACACATGACAAAAATGCATGACATTCATAAAAAGAAAAAGAGCTAATTGTCAGCAAATTGTCTTTTATAGAATTATGTTATAGATCTTATTGTGAACAATTCATCCATGTATATGTTTCTCTTTTTTTTTTTTTTTGACCTTGTAATGTTTAATCAAAATGTCATAACTGAATCTTTAGGGGGAAATGACCTTCTTTTTTGATGTATTGATATATGCCGGACTTCTCCAATCATTTAATCCACGTAAACCCCTCTCCTGCAAACTCATGCTCATCTAGCTCCATTTCCGAGTGCAACACCCACATCTCAACATACAATCAACAACTGATAAAACCAAGTCCCCTTTTTATAACCCATTGTAATGCTTTACAACTACAATACATAAGAAAAGATCTGCCGCTATATCTGTTTCTTTGTGACTTTAATTACTGTGTCAATTAACGTGTCCTGATTTAAAAGAATGTGCAGGAATGAGGTGCAGCCACCCTAAAATCTCTGATAGACTTCATTCAGAATTGTCCTTTTCATTGCACTTCAATCTCAATGCATCATTTGCCATTTGCACAATATGTTTAAATGCCCTCAGAATCAGTACATCCATGTCATCTTGTGTATCAGTTTCCTCATGGTAGCACTTCACAGGGAAGACGTGACTCACCGAGATACCTGTATTTGCAGAGCACTCTTCCAACTGGAAAACAACAAACATGCAGTCAGTTGTGATGTACACATGTAACCCTATGCATTACAGTCAAACAATGTAATTAGGAAAAATGGAAATTTTCAGTTTCAAGTGTAACAGAAGCAAGGGGGTCATGTTTAGTTCTGTTGTACAGAAAAATAATAGACAGAAAGCTTTTGACATGATATCAATGCAATTACCTTCTCTTTTATCTTCTTGCTAGTGTAGACGTTCCTTATGTTTTTTTTAACCAGTGGACATGCTTCATCCGGCCTGGTTCTGTTGAATGTGACCATGAATACAAATGTTTGTTGATTGTGTGATGTAGTTGATGTCATGATATATGACTTGTTGTATGAGTATTACACTAATGTGTCAGTGGCTTGATTAGTGTGCCACTGAAAAATGACTTTGTTCAATGAACTTTCTACTCTTTGTAACAATGCATATCTTGACAGGAATTGAAGTTATTATTAATCTTGGGACAAATTCAATAAGTCACATTAATGAGATTTTTGTTTGGGGAATGGACTACTTGCACTGAGCACTGAGCTTTGTGATGTACTTCCATTTTCAAAGTTTGCTAGTTTGCGGTTGCGTATATTTTCAATGTGCTGTAGCTACCTACTGTAATTGATTAAATGCCATTTAAAATGAGTGGAAAAAAATGTGTGTGTTGGGGGGGTCAAAACATGTTCAGGGACAAGTGAAGATACATTTTCTTTTGTTTTAATCAACTGGCAGCCCTAAAACGTATCAACAATCTGCATTCTCCTGTGTAATTGTCTGTATGTAGATGCTATTACTGGAAACTCCTGAGCCGTATTAAGTAGAACACGTAAGTATTTGTGCAAGTAGTCCATTTACTATGACAAAGATAATGAAGACCATCTCCAACATTTTCCTTTATACTCACCTAGTTCATCTGCCTTACTCTTAATATCTTTCACTTTCTCATAGATATTATTATCAGCTGCCACTGAGATTTTGTCAGCTGCAATGACAAAGACTAGGCAGTATGCCTGATCCTGAAGGCTTGGATTTCTTCTGTAGCCGTTATCTTGAGAAGTAATGGGAGATTCTGGATTGAACTTGAAAAAAAAATGCATTACAGAGATTATAAGGGATCTGGTTATATCCAACTGATTCATGTAAACCAAGAACAACAACTATGGAGAATATTTGGAATAACATTTCAAGATTTAAAAAAGTCAGTCCACAAGTTCATGTGTGTTAATGTAAAGCAATAGGTCTCACTTTGTATCTTTCCTTTATGCAGCCCTCCATGGCTTTCACAATATCCTCTGGATGTATGCCATGTAAATTGTCAGACTCTAAGCCCATGGTGTCAGTTAAGACAAAAGGCATAGGATATTGTCCATTTCTTATGTAATAGGTTTTGTACTGCAAGATATAAAGCATGAATGTGACAAGTAAATATATATTTGTTTATATCAGATCTTAAGTTTATAACTGTATATATATATATATATATATTATATATATTTCAATGCGATTAATGTGAACATGCATGAACCAGAGACCAAAATGAAAGTGCCTCAGAATGACGAGACAGAGAGAAAAAAAAAACCTCTCCAACTAGGGTCCCACCAGTGAATCTTAGCCATTTCTACCACTGGTTACAGGTGGGGATTGGCACAGAAAGCTGCGATTGTTTAGAACATTTTGGAGGAAAATTTGTCAGTCATTGTCTAAAGCAGTGCATGTTACATCTGAGAGCATGCTTTTTTTTTTTTTTCCAGAAACAATTTTATAAGAGTGAAAAAAATGAAAAAATGAGTAATGGGACATCCATAATCTCTTTCACATATGCTTATTAAAAACATAATATGTGCATACACATTTCCTTACAAATTGGACTAAATAGGCAGTATAAGTGTAACGCCAAGCCAGCAGAGGGAGCCCTCGCCCGAGTACTGACCGTGCTCCACTCCCTCTGCTTCCTCTGCTTTCACTTCCTGTTTGACTCTCATATAAACTGAGACCAGTCCATGTGCTGATCGCGAAGTATTGCCAGTTTATCTGCCTTATCGACTTCATCACTGACCTCCCACCATCCAATAATAACACTACTATACTGGTTATCATTGACCGTTTCTCGAAGTCCTGCCGTCTCATTCCACTACCCAAACTACCCACTGCCATGGAAACCGCTCAAACCCTCTTCCAACACATCTTTAGGATATATGGACTACCAGAGGACATAGTCAGTGACCGAGGTACCCAATTCATGTCTCAGGTCTGGAGGGCATTCTGCAATCAGTTGGATATCAGTTAAAGCCTTGACCTTTTAATAAACTTCCGCTCATGGATTCTAACCAAACTCCAGCGTCTCTGTTACAATAAGGGACCATTGAAATACTGTATGCTCTTAATGTAAGAAGCAAGTATGGATTGGGTTATGAAACATTGAAGATGTTTGTGTAATTTATTTTGCAATTTGATAGATTTTCTGTATCTTGAATATCTTTCATGTACCTTGTGTTTGTGAATTGTAACCAGAAATTGCGAACACTTGTTGAAATTGTCCTACTCGGACACCATAGTGATCAGGTGGGCTTGTAAGCTTAAGAGGGCGGGCGGGCATGAATGTTAGACGCTGATTGTTTATTAATTAATAGATAATTTTATAAACCGCTTCTTATTTTTAATTTAGAAATGTAATCCTCATAAGTATGTTCATATACTTACTAATTTTGTGAAGGTTTTGCTTGTGCCAGTTGTTTTGTTAACAAGGGCTTCGTTTGTGATTCTTCTTTGGAAAACACTATTGACTGAGTTGATGAAGCTGGACTTTCCTGCTCCAATTTCTCCAACTACTAGGATCCTTGCATACTTAATATTTGGATCGCACAGCCCAAAGTCTTTCAGTGTTTTCTCCAAATGATCTTTCTCTCTGTTCAAAAACAAAATAGTATACATATAGTAAACTACAAGGCTTGTGTGTCCTTCAGAATTAAATTGAGAATGCCTTAGTCATTTCAGTTAAATTCCTGAATTTGAATTGAGATAGCAAAAAGGACGTAGAATTGTAATTCAACTTTCAATTTATGGACGGAGAATTAACATGAAAGGAAATGAAACAGAAATTTATAGATTATAAACAATGTTTGAAATGCTGCCAAGAGTAACGTCTCTGTTACATATGGTAACCCTCGTCCCCTGATGGAGGGAATGAAGACATGTTGGAACGACAGTATGGGGGTCATCCTTGAGAGCCCTAATCACCTCTGAGAGTATCAGAATAGGCCAATGAAAATTGGCATGCAAAATTTGCATGTAAGGCCATGCCCGTATATACGGGTATATAAGGCCGTCCCGCATGCAAGCTGTACTTTAGTTTTATTCTGAGGAGCTGAGGTAGCTTCTCGGCCAAATCAGCGGTCAGTACAGAGTTGTGGCCAGCAGGACACACGTCTCTGTTCCCTCCATCAGGGAACGAGGGTTACCATACGTAACCTAGACATTCCCTTTCCGTCGTTCACTCCGACATGTGTCAGAATGACAGTATGGGGGTCCCTATACTAAACGCTACAACTACTGCACTGCGTCATGAGATAATGCGGGGCAAGTGTGGGCAGGCTTGAGTATGCCAACAGCAAATGCAACAACCCTCACTCATAACCTTCCAACGTACAGGGTAGATAACCTCAGGTCTCCATCACGGAGCGATACTCACCACAAGAGGTCACTGCAGCTGTGGGGCCTCACTCCCAGTGGACATGGCACACTATTGGACTGATATGTCACTATTGGGCCATTCTTTTTTGGACACAGCCTTCCCCTTCTGCTGACCTCCAAAATACACAAAGAGCTGTTCAGATTGTCTGGAACTCTGAGTTCGGTTCAGATAAATATGCAAATGGTGTACTGGACACAACAGAGACAAGGTTGGGTTTCCCTCCTCTGGAGGAAATGCTTGCAGGTTCACTACTTGGTCCCTGAAGGGAGTAGTGGGAACTTTGGGCACATATCCATGCCAGGGTCTCAAGACAGCGTTAGAGTAGTCCGGGCCGAATTCTAGGCACAAATCACTAACTGAGAGAGCCTGTAGGTCTCCCACCCTCTTGAGAGATGTGAGCTCAATCAGGAGGGCCGTCTTCAGAGAGAGGGTGCTAAGCTCTACTGATTGCAAAGGCTCAAACAGATCTTTCTTCAGAAAGATCACAGAACCACAGAAAGATCCCAAGAGGGGATGGGGCACGGTCTCTGAGAATTCGAACTCCGGGCACCTCTCAGGAACCTAACTATAAGGTCATGCTTTCCCAAAGACCTGCCATCCACGAGGTCATGATTTGCTATATAGCAGCCATGTAAACCTTCAGAGTGGAGGCCGACAGGCGCTTTTCAAGGCCTTGTTGTAAAAAGGAAAGCACTGACCCAAGGCCACACCTCTGAGGGTCCTTGCCTCGGGTGGAACACCACGGAGTGAAAATGTACCAATTCAGGGCACAGAGCTGCCTGGTAGAAGGAGCTCTAGCCTGAGAGATGGTATCTACCACTGCAGGAGATAGGCCTCTGAATTTCTCCTCGTCCTGTCTAGGGACCAGACATGGAGGTTCCAGAGCTCTGGGCGTGGCTGCCAGATTGTGCAGGAGGTCCTTCTTCAGGGGAACTCGCCAGCACAGCCAGCAACTCTAGACAGTTGATGTGCCAATGCATGAGGTCCTGTCCAGGAGCCCAAAACCACATGCCCATTGCAGACGGCGCCCCAGCCTGTCTTGGAGGCGTCTGTTGTGACAACAATACGCCTGGACACTTGGCCTAAGGGAACTCCTGCCTGTAGAAACACATGGTCTGACCAAGGACTGAAGAGGCGGCGACAGATCGGCGTGATCTCAGGACTCGAGTCTGAAACCAATGCTGTAGTGGTCTCATATGCATCAACCCTAATGGCATAACCGCGGCTGTGGATGCCATATGCCCCAGGAGCAATGTCCCCTCTAATTTGTTTTTTCTTGCTGAGTAAAACTTTTCTCTATTGGGTGGACATTTCGGCCACTTGAGCAAAAACATTCTTTATGCCAGACCTGTACAGTGCACACGCAAAAAGTGTGTAACTTTTAACTTTAATGTGCTATTTATATTTGATTTGACCCTTGATGTAACTAAATAATGCACATTTTAGGTTACCTGAGAATTTTTTTTTACTGTGCTGTGTTACCAAAAAAATTCTATGAAGAATCATTTTCAACAGTTCAATTCTTTGTAATAATATAATATAATATTATATAATGTATTATAATATAATACAATATAATATAAAAAAATGAAGTAGATATTGCTCATGAATTCCCTTTTTGAGGTCAGTTATTTATTAGGTTTATAATAATAATATAAAAACAAACTGAAGCATTTAAACTGATAGAATAAAATAGAATAGAATAGAATAGAAAACAAACTGAAGCATTTAAACTAAGATCTGTAAGCTAAATATTAAAAAAAAACGTGAACATGTGAATTCTTATATAGTAATCTAATATAGTAATATAGTAATGGAGTTTTTTCTTTTATATTTCATTGTTTTTAATAAATTAGTTTTATGAGGTGAACAAACATTTAGTTTTCTAGAATGCCATTGACTGTAATTAATTTAACTGATTTCAGTACAGTACTTATCCTGCCACTCCAATTAAAATTCCCATTTAACATTTCTGTCAAGGCCAATTCAGTTTAAATTAATTTGTGAATTAAACAGGAGCCAATTCTTAAAATCTGTCCAATCCAGCAAATTACACAATACTTGGTATACAAACATTTATATATTTTTGTTAGTAGATTTTTTTCAACTTACCCCCAGGGAGTGTCCCTCCATGGTTTGTCATATTCTGTAAAAAGAATATGATATTAATATACAAAGTGCAATTTAAGAAGTCTGTCAAATTTACCAAATGAGATTAGAGGAGAGATTAGAGATTATTAGTGTGTGTGTGTGTGTGTACCATGTGAAAGTATAAACAAGACTTTTAGGTTGACTTTGAAATTAAAACTCAATTCAATAAAATATGACAAGATGTTTAACATTCAATCCTTAAAACAACTATCTTATTTTCATATTAAGATTTTTTTTTTAGTAAGACTAGTAAGTAGTAAGACTTTTAATTGAATTCTACCTTGGACATTCTGACTACTTATAACATAAGATGAGTTTTAAAAAATCAGTTGTGACTAGTAAGATAAGCACTGTTAATAGTAATAGTTACAAAATATAATAGTGTCTGAAATATAAGTACTAGTGCATAAGTAATAACTATTAGTATTTATTAAATATATGCTAGTATCAAGGGAAAAGTAAACACATTTAAGAAATAAGTACTAGTATCTAATGAATGCTTACTAGTAATATTTAAAAATATATAGTCACAACTGGAATGCATACTAGTCAACTGAAATAGTTGATGGCATCTTGATGGCAGATCCCCATAGAAGTCAATGGCAAAAATTTGAAATGTGTTACTAACAATAAAATAATTAATAGAATAATCCCCTTTTAAATACGCACTAATACAAAAAAAAAAAAGAACTATTATCTAATGAATAAATACTAGTATCTTTAAAAAATAGTAGTTCCTAAATAATAAGCACTAGTATCTGAAAAATAAACACTAGTACCTAAAGAATAAGCACTAGTATCTGAAGAATAATAACTAATAGCCAACGAATAAGTACTAGTACCCAATGGAATAGATACTAGTACCTAAAAAATGAGTACTAGTAACATGAAAATAGATACTAGTATGTTTTATAGATTAAATCACGTGTCAAACTCCAGTCCTGGGGGGCTACTTTCCTGCAGCGTGTAGCTCCAACCAGCTCCAAAACACCTGTCTGGAAGTTTCTAGTAATCCTAAAGATTTTGATTAACTGATTCAGGTATGTTTAATTAGGGTTAGAGCTAAACTCTGCAGAATGACATGAACTGAATTTGAAACCCTGGATTAAATGTTAAAATGGCTTGCCACACCAAGAAGCAGTCTACATAAAACCGGAATGAAGTGAAAGTCGATAATTTTCGATGAAAATGCTGTCGTTGTGTCCGCTCTAGTAGTTAAATAATAGTGAACGCCTTCTACAAACATTTAATGTCACATGTGATTCATACGTAACTATTTGGGAAGATTGTTTAGGAGCGGAAAAATTATTTGCATTAAATGAGTGTTTGGAATAATCTCAATGCTTGAATATTATCAGAAGTCTATAGGTCTTGCAACACAACAGGTCTGTGGGTGTGCGTGCATGCAGAACCTGATTTTACCAAGTACGACATATTCCTGGATCAACATCTTTGTTGACCCTGGAACAACATTGTGATTAACCAGTCAGACTTTAAGAACCAGTTTATAGTTTTTGTGAAGTTTAGGCTTACAATCCGTGTTTGGTGCTTGTACATCAGTGCCATTCATCTATCATTTCCTCTGATTTTAGGGAATACTAATGGTTAAGGTTAGGTTTAGGTGTAGGGATATGGTCAAGACTAAATTTTTGTAATAAAATGTTGTTCCAGTGTCAACAAAATATGTTGACCTAGGAACACATCTAACTCAGCAAAATCAGGAAGTGCGGGTGTGCATACGCCCTAATAACGTTAGAAAACAATAAAAGTGTCTAATTGGAAGTAAATGTGCATGGTCCTGCTGCTCGACCTTGATAAAAACAAAAATAAGATAAGCAATAAGTGGAGAGATTACAGATTATAGAATAGGCTACGGTGCAAACAATCATTTGTTAAGAATTCAGCAGATCTGTAGTCAACAAGGCAGAAGATAACATTTGTGGTACAGTTTGTCATGAAATGCCCGGAGAGACAAGGTAAGATCCAGTTGCAGTTTTATTGAAAGTAACAAAATATCAAAACGGAACAAAAACGTGGCCAAAAGGTACTCCACCCACAAGGAACAGAAGATGAGATGATGAGTAATTAACAACCGGTGATAATGATTAGGAATGATTAACAGGTGCTCATGATAAGAACAGAAATGACAAGCAAGGGATTATGGGAAATGGAGTTAAACACATAAAACATAGAAACAGGATAGCGCCCTCAAATGGCCAGTCCAGGGCAACACAACCAAACACTGTGACACAGTTAAAACTTTACATAACTGAAAATCTAAGAATAGAGATAAAAAAAAATGAGAAGTGATAATATTTATAAACAAGAAAATCTTGTAACACCAAAATGCCTTTTAGTTTTGTTTATTTTATATAGTTTGTATGTTATTTTAATATTTATCGTTTCTTGTGTTGATTGTGATCCTCCCATTTTTGTATCTTCCTGTTTTTCCTTTGTATTCTCTGCAAATACTAAGTCTGCATGATAACGCAAGTTATGGAAATTCAACAGAGAGGCAAGAACTATTTCTCGTTCCGGCCTGTAAACTTTCACTTTCACTTTTAAACCAACCAATGTGTTAGCGCATAATACATAATAATGTCCTATTTAAAAGGCACCAAAGGTTTGTTGAAAGCTATAGAACTGTGTATGTTTTTTTTGTTTTGTTTGTAAAATTAGAAAATAACCTGGAACAAATACACATAAACATTAAAAAATATTAGTAACTTGTCTTAATAATTGATAACTTGTGAAATGGCTAGAGAAACAAATGCTTCTTTAAGACTCCCTTAAGACTCCAAATCTGTTCAGATAATTTAGGAACATCAAAATATCGTACAAGCAATCTGTGTAGTATCAATAAATGTGACGTGACTGGAGTGCTGAATTGCAGATACGTGCAAACCATGGAGTCCATCGAAGCAGATTCACAAGTCATGTTCATTGGTGTCAAATGCACTACAGCCAGGAAAGTGCGATCCAGTACAGGCAGCCCAGAGCTATTGGGGGGGGGCCTACAACATTCCTCCCTGAGGGTACCTGCCATTTTAACCAAATACATGATAAAATATCTAGGTTATTTTACTGTAAAGAAATGTTAGCATTATTTTGTGCAAAAAATCAAACAAACAAACCTGACGAGCAAATGAGTTTGGGGTAGGGCTATCTTTTTGTCCAGCCAATGGAAGATGGGGGATTGTTTGGAAAACAGGAAACAGTTGTTATTTTATCAATTCCATTTAGCAGTGGTGCAAAAATTGCAGACTGCAGCCACTTTTTCTGGTATATGGATCTGCAAAGTCTAAGGAGAGGACAACATCTAAAGGTGAACATTTTTTAGTTGTATTTTTGTTAGATAAATTTGTATATTATTTGTGTAAGACAATTGTAAATTATATTTACCAAATTAATTATGCATTGCTTATGCATACTATGAACTACTGCAAATAGAAGCATAAAAGGTTTAATAACATTTCTTAATATGAAATAAAAAATGCTTGACCAAACTCTCAGATGCCACTGTGCTTATAATCATAACAATTTATTTATATTAATTCTACATATTCTCAATGCTTTTTACATGGAAGAGGTCTTTGATGATTTTTTCACCAGGGTCAGACAAACACATTAGCCATCTGAAGGTTTACACAAAATAACAACTGATTATTACACAGTTTTATACTGTAAAAGATTTTATACTCCAACATCTATTCCATTGACTTTGCAGGGTCATAATCAAGGACAACATTGTCATGATTGTCGGATGTTGTATCCCAGATGGCTGGTATTTAAGTATCACTTATAAAGCTAAATTAATAACATGGTGCATGGATAAAAAATATTGCTCTGTATTCTTATACATCTTGTGATGACATAGTCGTATATTATCTAATTTTAGCCACTTGTATAGAATATGCATCTTCTCCTGTCAGCAAGTCTTTTTTAGTTTGCATGACAAAACAGGAATAATTGCACTGTTCAAGAGATCAACACACACTCAGCCCTTACAAAAAAGTACTGTGGTGGTACTATGGTATCAAATGGTAATGAAACAGTACTTGGTACTGTACCATGCGACTTTATGATCTCCATAATCCTGTACTATAGAATTTACATGGTCATCCAACATACTTCAAAAATACCATGGCACCATGTCCAAAATCATGGTACACTTTTTGTAAGAGAAGACAAACATACTGTCTCTTTCCCAAAACTATAAACACACACTTCACTTCTCACTCTCAAACAGACCTTCCCTCCTAACACACAAACAAACACACACATAAACACTTATTAGAGCACATTAGGAATGAGCAGGTGTCTGTAGCATTCCATATTGATGCATTCCATACTCTAGAGTCTAGACTATCAATGATAACTATAACCTATATGTCATATATACACTATTCTTTCCAGCATCGTATTCTGTATTCTGTCTATAACTATGTATTACACTTTAGGCAGGGAGGGATTTGTCAATGCAAGAACTACACTACACAGTCAAACATTCACACACACTGACAACAACAACAACAGCAGCAACAACAATAATAGCATACATAAAGATTACAATATACCTCTTTAAGTCCAAAGCATTTCTTCATTATACTTCAAGGGAACAAAGACAAATTAGTCCAAAAAAAGTCAGAATATTTTCAGGGTCATAAATGGGGCTGTGCTCTTCATATTTATTTAGTCCAAACCAAGTGTTTTTCAGTAACTTGTCCAGCTGAAGACCACAAGGTGAAATTTAAAGTTCCCCTTTACATGTGGACAAGCTCATAGCAGAGATGTGGAAAAGAACAATATAGCTTCCTAACATCATAAAAGATAATATGATGTACCTTCACTGTTAGCACTGTCATCAAAAGAAATATTAATCGATATTCAACTCTCAACCCACATGTAGTACACACATACATATTAGCATTTCTCTGCTTAAATGATATTTAGAAAGCCTGTCACATAGTCTCTCTTAAAATTGTGCTTATCTCTGGAAGCAGCATGACAGCAAGTCACATTTGCA